TTCTCTTCATTCTTTTTTTTGTCAACCCCCTTCTTCTAAGAGGTGTCACTCATAGCCAAGCCATTACCTGCAATTGCCCAACCATTAATCCCTTTTCTGCCCCACTGTTTTTGGTCAATATCTCCTGGGGACCATGTGACCACAGGTGTTAGCCTCAGGTCACATTTTAGATAAAAAGAGAGCATTGTACCATTGCTCGGTCACATTTTAGGTATAAAAAGAGAGCATTGTACCATTGCTCGCTCTCTCTCTTGCTTTTACCTCTCCTATCCCCACCCTATCTTGCTGGTTCCATTCTTAGCACTGTTTGGAACCTACCACGTGTGTTGCTGATCAACCCACGACCCCTTTCCCTTATTTTTATCCTTTTTTCACTGCAGAGTCAACTCGCCTCACCGGACAGGTAAAGTATCACCCCACCAACAATACTACCTGCTAATGCAAACGTCTCTGTACTTTTCTATCTGCATTCTTAGCTCTGTATTGCTTGTATATTTGATTGTGTATGCTTGAGAAACCTTTAGTAAAGAAATCACTGCTTTAGTAATCTAGCCTCAGCGTCTATAACTGGGGACTAGGAATTCAAACTCTGGTATACACAGGTTATGATCCTATAATTAATGCCTATTTCCATTTAATAATCATAATTCCCCACATTTATTAATAAGGCAAATGGCTAACCAGTCAGAAAAGTGCAAAGCTTCCCTGATCAATGGGCGCAGAAGGGACAGTGACACCATGGCCCCAGAAGCCTGGCACCCAAGCAACTTGGCTAGGGAAGGTCCAGCCTCCATGCTGAAGTTACTCTTTACCACTTTTAAGCACCTTGCTATACAAAAAGTCATAGCTAAAAACTGATCCCCACACACAAAAAAATATTTAAGTATGATAAAGGTGATAATCCTGAAAAATCCAGTCTGAGCCAGGGGAACCTGAACAGAGATTTGTTTTTATTTATTTATTTTAAAACATTTTAATGCTGCCTTTCCACCCAATCAGGATCCACAAGGCTGCAAACAAAAGCATTAAAATGCTTAAAAATTCAGTAAAAATATAAGATCCAAATCAAAACATATAAACAAACAATAAGGAGGGCCAATAACTGTTATTAGGGGTATGACAGACAAAACAAAACGTCTTCACCAGCTGGTGAAAAACACTGATAGAGACAGACAAATCTCCTTGGGGAGGGAGTTCCAGAGTTTTGGTGCCATGACGGAGAAGGCCCTTTCTCGGATTGCCCCCTGTCTAGCCTCAGATGGTGGGGCAACTGAAGCAGGGCCTCCGAGGATAATTGGAGTGACTGGGTAGATTTGTATGGGAAAAGGCAGTCCTTAAGGTATGTTGGTCCCAGGCCATGCAGAACTTTAAAGATTGATACCAGCACTTTGAATTGAGCCCAGAAGCAAACTGGACGCCAGAGTAGATGGAACAAGACTAGAGTGATGTGGTCTCTGCGACCCACTCCAGTCAACAATCTGGCTGCAGCCTTCTGTACCAACTGTAGTGTCTGGACAGTCTTCAAGAGCAACCCCATGTAGAGCACATTGCAGTAATCTAATCGGGTCCAGGTAGGCAGGTCCAGATCAAAGCACTACCACTTTTAACCAGCCACCATTGATGTAAATCAGAAACTTTCATGTTCCTGTTCCACCTAAAAAGCTCTTCATTCCTTAAATCAAAGCATGACCACACTTCAAGGGCTCACTTCTGTTCCTTGAGCTGATAACCAGAATCATATGCCAAACAAAATGGTTTGGCATGCCCCTGTTCAGCATACTTGCTGGAGGTTGCCTAACCCTAAATTATTGCATGGACTGGGGCATATGCTTTCGCAGACCAGAAACAATTTCATCAGATGTATGTAGTGGTCGCCATATAAATTTATTCAGGGAGGTTTAAACCCCATATTTCTTCCCAGTGAGAATCCAAAGTGGCTTTAATAGGAAAAAATGAAGTACAACACACTGTGTCCCATGCTAGTCTGAGATCCGGGCCATTTCCATATGGATTATCTGGCCTGGGTTCAAAGCTTTGAGGAAGTAGGTTTTTGTCATGCTTCCCCACAGTATTGGGGTACATTTGTGTACCTACTGAGGATTCCCTGGATTTTTTCTGATCTTTTTCAAACCTGGTTTGCTCCAAAGATTTGGGAAAGATCACAATAAAGTATGGATAGATGCTGGGGAGGGGGGGAGCTGGATTTTCCCACCCATATGGCAGTGATTTCCCCAAAATCTGTCTATATGGTGACATCCCGCCTCTTCTGGGAGGTGCTTTTTAAAAAAAATCACTACAATCTCCTAATAACATTACACCAGTATATATGTCAGGTTCTTTACATTCCTAGCTTTAATATTTGTTAAAGTCTCTATCCCTTTCCATTGCAGTCATGTAAGGAGAAAGGCATATTTTCACAAGGGAAAAGGCTAGACACTTACTCTTTGTGTGGCTGTGTGGTTAGTGAGTTTCTGGTAGTTGCCTCTGGGCCTTTCCCTAGCAAGTGTTCCTCCATCAGTTGACATGAAAAGGAAGGGACATTTTCAGGGCTGTGTTGGCCTCCGAACCGACCCTTGGTGGCCCCCAAGGCTGATGTCACAAATCATTGGCTAAGGCACTCTCAAAGCACTATAGCAATCATTTGCAAACAATTGCTATTGTGCAGGAGTCTTCAACCTGGTGCCCGTGGGTGCCACTCCTGGTGCCTGCCAAGTGTTCTTGGAAACTGGGTGGGGCCAGATGGGGCTTTTGCCCAGCAAGGCTTCTGATTGGCCACTGGAGTTTTGATTGGTTGTGCAGGGTTGTTGTTTTTTAATGTTGCTTTGGCAGCAGCTACCACTACAGCACAAGGATCTTCATTGTATGGCTGAAAGCTGTGGCAGCCATTTTGGGGCTGGCTCAGTCTCATGCATCAGCCCTTTTGTGGCTGCGCCCATCACACTGTGTCAGAATTCCAAAGGTGCTCACAGACACAAAGAAGTTAGGGAGCTGTGGTCTGTAATCACTTCACCTTGCATCCCACTCCTCCTGAATTGCTATGTCACTAGCAGTGTTCCCTCTAAGCTGAGTTAGTGTGAGCTAGCTCACAGTTTTTTAGCCTCCGGCTCACAGATTTTTGTCTTAGCTCAAAAAGGACAACTCCAGAGCAAACTAATTTATGCAGTAGCCAAATCGCTGGCTCACAGCTTTAATGCCAGTTGCTCACAAAGTAGAATTTTTGCACACAAGACTCCACAGCTTAGAGGGAACATTGGTCACTAGGAGAATTTCTACAGTTAACTTGAGATCTGGAGCATCTGTTGTGTTGCTGCAGTTTTCAGTTCTACTGGTTTGCATCTTCTTTCCCCTAACATCAACTACACAGATAAAACACTGCAAAAAAAAAAAAACAGTTGGGTGTATCTATGTTGTTTGCTTCACTAAGGAAAATGTAATATCATTGTATGGGCTGAACAGAATATGTAAACAACTTGTTCAAGATGTAGAATTTGCACAATCAAAGGGGAGTATGAAAGTACTAAATAAATTTTGGAATCAGTTTGCAAGGTCAGATGCGGCATTTGGATCCTTCTGTAAATGTGTAAGTCCTGCATAAGGTTTGCATCTGGAAATACTGGATCAAATATCCAGCAGAGTGTGTGTGGAATTTCCCATATTCTGGATGGGGAAACCACTCAGAATTGCCTGCTTGTCCTACGAATTTTTGTACTGCATGTCCACTCCACTAACCTTGTATTTTTCCAAGCTCCAAGCGTATTAGACAATTCTAGTCATCAAATGGTTTGATGCAACTGTTTCAGATATTTACTCTCCCATTTGTAACAATTTAAAAGGGCAGACAACCATTTCAGTAACCATATTTTGTTTTTCTAAATGAAGGGTAAGGTGCTCAAATCTCCCCACCCACAGAGAAATCAGCAGATTGTTAAAGTGCCTTTGCATCATGCTGTTATATCACTATTGTGCCCCGGATCCAAAGAAATATTCAAGTATTTCCATTTACTCATTAGGGATGCCAGGTCTGGGTTGGAAAATACCTGGAGACTTTGGGGGTAGATCCAGGAGAGGGCAGGGTTTGGGGAGGGGAGGGGCCTCAGCATGGTATAATGCCATATGGAGTCCACCCTTCAGAGCAGCCATTTTCTCCAGGGGAACTGATCTCTGTCAGCTGGAGATCAGTTGTGAAAGCGGGAGATCTCCAGACCCCACCTGGAGGCTGGCAACCCTGCCACTCGTTGTGGTTTGGACGACTGTTTCTCAAACAGCCTAGGAGCAAACTGCTTTTGAAACCGCAGGATTTTCCAAAAGCAGATTGTGATCAGGCATGCAGGGTTTTCAGAATGTACTGTCTGAAGAAGAAAGAAATCCCACTGGGGTTTCCAAAAATAGCTTGTTAGAGATCCAAGCCAACTATTTTGATTTTTATCTCACCTTTCCTCCAAGGAGCTCAGGGGCCGTGTACCCTGGGTCACCACGTTTTGATCTGCACATTTACAACATGCATTGAGCAGCAGGAAAGGGTGTTGAAAAATAAGTTTAAAAAGAGTGTCTTCAATTATGTGGCAAAGGGTAGAAACAGACGGCGCGAGGCAGAAAAGGCGCGCTCTTCCCTTCACCTCCACAATGCCGAACTTTCATATTTGTGGGCTCTTCCCCCCCCGCCCCCCTTCTCCCGAATCCCCTGTGGTATCATGTCTACTTCATACTTGAGGAACACAGCAGCACAGGGAGACGTGGTGGAGCACCCGCGGACACAAGGAAGAGCTCGCTGGTACTCCGGGGCCGAAGTTTCTTCACTGCCTCGCCCCCTCTTCCGAGTCCCAACTTAGCGCAGAGCTGGAAGCAAGGCCAGCCCGCCGCCGCCGCCCCTCGCGGCAACGGCAGGGGGAGGAGGAGGGCTCTCCTTGCACGTCAATCTCCCCGCGTCCCCGCCTGGCCCCTCAGAGTTGGTTGGAGAACCTCTGAACTTCCCCCCCCCCCTTTCCTTTCGGCGACGTGGTGTCCGGTGGCGCTCCAAGCCAGGGGAGGATGTGGGACCGCCGGCTGCTCTGGGCCGCCGCCGTTGCCTGCCTGCTCTGGGCCGGGGCGCGGGCTCAATACGAGCGCTACAGCTTCAGGAGCTACCCGCGGGACGAGCTGATGCCCTTGGAGTCCGCCTACCGCTACGGCCTGGACCAGTACAGCAACGAGAACTGGCCCGAGAGCGTCAACTACCTGGAGGTGAGCCTGAGGCTCCACCGCCTCCTGCGGGACAGCGAGGCCTTCTGCCACATCAACTGCAGCACCGTCCGCATGGAGGAGGAGGAGGAGGAGGAGGAGGAGGAGGGAGGGGCGGCAGCGGGGGTCGGCGCCGGCGACTCGCAGGGGCATCTGCCGCCCGGCCGCTTCCAGGGCTTCCCGGAGCTGCGCTACTTCGGGGACCTGCTGCGCAGAGCGCAGTGCCTCAAGCGCTGCAAGCAAGGGCTGCCGGCTTTCCGCCAGTCCCAGCCCAGTCGGGAGGTGCTCGAGGAATTCCAGCGCCGCGAGCCCTACAAGTTCCTGCAGTACGCCTACTTCAAGGTAGGGACGCCGCTCCCCCCCCCCCCTTTCCCCCCCCATTTCATGTCGCCCCTGCAAGCACCGCCCTGCCCCCCACCTGGTTTCGCTTCCCTTCCCACGCTGCTCCTTCCCCCCTGGGCTCCTGAGCCAGCGTGGATCATCTCAACCAGGTCGTCAGTGGAGTAAAGCAGGAGCTCACTGGCACTTCACAGGACAGCAACAGGTATCCCAGCCTACATTTCCGTCAGCCCAGGAGAGCTGAGGTTAGAATAAATGCGGTTAGTCTTTAAGGTGCAACTGGGACTCCTGTTTTATGAAGCCAATGTGGTCCATCGTATGCTCCATGTTAGGACAAAGAGTCAGAGCCTTGAACCGTTCTAGATTAGGCCTCAGCCGGTGACACCAGGCTTCCCTGCATGTCCAAACACGACCTTGGTCATAGTATCATTGCCCTCCCCCCCAGTGTAACCTTCTCTGCAATCCTTTTCCAGAGCGCCTTCCAATGTTCCCTCTAAGCTGTGGAGTCTTGTGAGTAAAATTTTTTCTTTGTGAGCTACTGGCATTACAATTGTGAGCAAGCGATTTGGCTGCTGCATAAATTAGTTTGCTCTGGAGCTATCCTTCCTGAACTAAGACAAAAATGTGTGAGCTGGAGGCTGAAAAACGGAGCAAGCTCACATTAAGTTTAGAGGGAACACTGGTACCTTCAGCTTTTCTTGGTCCTTGGACTGGGCACTGCCTAACCTACCTCACAGGGACATTGTGAAGATACAGTGGAGAAAGGGTGGAATGCAAATGTGATCAACAGTCCCCTATTTATAAACCTCAGTTAGTTATTGCTCCTATGTACCCCTTTTTAGCCAGTTGGGCATGTGCCCTGTGCCTGCCTTTCTTCTTTATAATGTAGGACCAATGTTTTCAGTGCAGTAGCGCTCCTCATGTGCTTTGCATCAGGTGCTGCCTGCTCATTTGTACTGGAGTCCATGGTTTTTTGTTTGTTTATTTCAGCGCTGCATTCTGTACCATTTCCTATGCTGTGTGGCTTGCTGCCATGCTCCCAGCTTACCTTTTTTGAATCCAACAGCCCTGACTGTCCACTGTCTACTTCAGAACACACCACGTGTTGCTTATTGATTCCTGGTTTCCCTGCAACCCAGAATATCTGTTACCTACAACACCCCTGGTATGTCAAGTATCAGCCAAACAGATATGCCCTTCAGTGCCTGATTACAGCAGAGCAAGATGTGTTCTCCTGTGAATTGCCCATCTCAGTTGTCCAAAGTCTGTAGTCCGTATTTCCTTGTGTGCCTCTGGAGAGACTGCAAAATGTTTATCCTCCTATCAGGCTTCATGTCCTTTTGCATTCATTATGTATCATAGAGTACTCATATGTATCATAGAGTACTCAATATCATCATATTTCACATTGTGCTCAGCTGTTCAGTAACATTGCACATTACATTCCTTGCGTCACCTCATTGTTACCTCAAATGTCACCAGAATATGCATTTTTTGACCCATATAGCCATCTGATTGTTTAAGATCTAGCATTGCAGGCACTATTGCTACCGTTTCTGGATCCATTTTCAAGATTAATTGCTTTTTTATACATACTACTAATTCTTTTCTGGACAATGCAGTGTTTTGTTGCATCCATCTAATGATCAGTGATCATCCTGTTTTTCTGTCCCATAACTCCTGTTACCATCTTGTCACCAATTTCCTTTCTTGCGTTCCCGTCTTTATACCACACTTTTCTTCCCATTGGAGACCCAAAGTGGCTTACACCAGCATTCTTCCCTCCTCTATGTTATCTTCACAACAAACGTGAGATAGGTTAGGCTGTGAGAGTTTGATTGGCCCAAGGTCACCTGGTGAACTTCCATGGCAGAATGGGGATTTGAACCTAGCTGAATGGGCTGTACAGAATATCCACACAGGTACAAAATATGACGTCTTTGTCTTCTCCTGGGAACACTACTCAGAGCCCCCCCCTGCACATTGTTCTGGTCCCAGTTAATCCCTACAGCACATTGTTTCAAGGGGCAGGTACAATAGCATGCCCACAGGTCCCATTCATTCTATAACTCGGCAGCCCCGGCTCCATTGCAGTGTGTCTGTCCTGGGCACCTACTGACAGGTTACTCCCAAATTTGTTTGGGTTCTTTTCCATCTTCACAGCCTCTTCTCCATGGACTTCTGGAATGGTGATTGTAACTCCAAACAGCCTCCTATTATTCCCGCTCACCTTTGCATTTCCAGTACTTGTGTGCATGTTTTTAAAGTGTGTTATATTTCTGTATTTGTGCGTTTTATTAGGATTTCTTCTTTTAGTAAAAGCAACACTTTTGGTTAAGTGACAGACTGGTTGTTTGAGAGTTCTCTAAGGGAAAGATCCCGGTAAAACATAGGTGGAGAGATCTCACTAGTTACTTCCCTCCACAGGCTTTCCTGTCTTCTTGCTAATTTCCATAATAAACCGGAGACAGCCTTTTTGGACAAATACAGCATTTGAGGTAACACCAGATCCTACTCCAACCACTACACGACATTGTCTGTACTGTAAAACTCTAGAGGAAGGGGAAAGCTTGTAACACACGAATGACCTTTTAAAAAGATATTCTAAGGTATATTGTTAATCCTTTTTTGACTAGGCAAATAACTTTCCGAAAGCAATTGCAGCAGCGCACACGTTTCTTCTGAAGCATCCTGACGATGAGATGATGAAAAGGAACATGGCATATTACAAAAGCATGCCTGATGCTGAGGATTATATTAAAGACCTAGAATCAAAATCATACGAGGTATGTTTCCCTTCCTACTCCTGTTCCACGACTGTCTCTGAACTATATTCTGTAAACCCCTGCACCTAAAAAAAACATGTTGATACGTTCCATTTCATCTTGTCATTACTGTCCTATCCCACTTGCTGTACTTCTTACAGTCTAAACCTAGCCATGCTTTACTTGAAGTAACAGGGCAGTCATAAGCAGGTCTACTCAGAATCCTACTGTAGTCTACTCTGTAGGGCTTACTCCCAGGAAAGTGTTTTTAGGATTGCACTGTAAGACTTGTTGCATTCAATACTGGTGCAAGGGGAAGGGCTTTTTTTTCCTGGGGGAATGCGCCGGAATGGAGTTCCAGAACCTCTTTGACAAAATTTCTTTTTAAAATGTTTAAAAGTTCATGAGTGTTCAGTATACGGATTGAAAACTTCATTTCCCTCTTGAGAGTTCTGGCACCTCTTTTTAAAATAAAATAAAATAAAAAGCCCTGGCAAGGAGTGTACTCAATCCAGCAGGTAGCATCTTAACTAAGCCAGCTCCCCCTTCACCAGCTTCTATTTGTCATCTGATTTTCAATGCAGCACTTTTGACCTTCTGTTCTAAAATAAAAAGCCCTGGCAAGGAGTGTACCCAATCCAGCAGGTAGCATCTTAACTGAGCCAGCTCCCCCTTCACCAGCTTCTTTTTGTCATCTGATTTTCAACACAGCACTTTTGACCTTCTGTTTTAGCAGGGCACAGATGCAAGTGGCATCCTAAAGCAGGTCTACTCAGAATCCTGTTCAGGTCTATTCAATGAGGATTACTTGAAAGAAAGCATTCTTAGGATCGTTATCTTTTCCAGTTGACATAACTAAGAATAGAACTGCACACATTATCTTATAAAGCATGTTTTCAAATGTCTACTTTTTTGAGCAATCTTGCAACAACAGATGTGTTAGTCACTACATTTTCATGTATAGCTCTTCAGTTTTAATGTGCATGAAAGCAAACAAGACTGCGGAAACTCAAATAACTTCAGAGCTTTGTGTAATAGAATGTTTCAACTTTGAGACGTAGGAATGCAATGTCCGTTTAGTTTTGCATACTGCTCAGCTACAGTATCCTGTCTGAAATGGATTCTTATTCCCCAGTATTCCTTAGTTATGTTTCATTTATCTGGATTTTTTCTGCATCATGGTACTGAGGTATTGAAGTGACTGAAAGAGAGGGAGGCTGATATGAGGGCCATCTCACATAAGATGAAATTTCTTCTACAGAAATAACTTCTTTGCATGAATCTTTATGTGCCAATAATGTCACATGTTATGAGTTACATGTGTCTATTTTGGTTGCATTTACAGATAGCTGGAAGCAACACTAGCTTCCTGATGCATGGATATGTGATAAAACGGACACATCTGTCACACAATGAATTCATGCCATTTCCTGCATCAAGGTGGCTTTTGTGCTGTAAATTTGTCCTGCAAGACATAGTCTTTGGTGAGACCATTCATTCTACTCAGCCAATATAGTACCCATGACGTATGATTTCTTCTGATTTCCTCAGACTCTCTTTATCAGGGCAGTGAGGGCATACAATGGAGAAAACTGGAGGACTTCTATTACAGATATGGAGCTGGCACTTCCGGAGTTCTTCAAAGCCTACGATGACTGCTTAGCTGCCTGTGAGGTCTCACGGGAGATCACAGATTTTAAAGAGTTCTATCTGTCCATAGCAGGTATGCAGCTGTTTCCTAAAAAATTTTTTTTGGGGAGGAGGACTCTAGAAGGCTTCCTTATTGTTCTAAAACACTCCTGGTTGATGTTGTTGAGGTGCAGGCAGGGAAGGGATGTAAGAGCTCAAAGTATGCTTGGTGGTACTAGAGGCTGCACGTAGCAATATTTGTCCAAACTAGACTTCTACTACATCATGTGACACCTCTTCTTAGGACCAGCTGTAAAATAACACAATATAGCATGCAAGCTTTCCGGTCTTAGAATTTTTAATTAGGATAAATATTAAAAAAGCAAAGGGGGAGGGCGGGAAGATTTTTAAAAGTTTTTTTTATTTATAGTCCACCTTTCTCATAGGGATTTAGTGTGGATTACCCATAGTGAGCCACAGTCACGAAAATGGGACATTCAATAACCAATGCATTAGGATTTTAGAAGTCTGGAGCCACCAGAAAGAACTGACGCATAGCATAAGGGACTGGTACAATAAGTAAGACAGGGATGGGAAAAGTAATTGTGATGCCCCTTTCTACTCACAAAGAATGCTTACCACTCTCCACCTCTCTCTCTCAGGTTCTGAGTTACTATAAGGTAACCTTCACTACCCTTCTTGTCTCTTTTAATATCTCTAGAGAGCCATGACCATTTAATCTCTCAAGTCCTGTCACTAACAGAGACATCAGCAGACAGGGTAGCCCAGACCCCCTTTTAGTAACAGGTCCTCACTCAAACACTTCACAGAGTTATTGGGGTTGGGGGGCTCAAACACTATTCCATTCACATGCTACCACCATTTATTCATATCCTACACACTATATATAGTGTGTATATACACACACACACACACACAAGATATTACCTTGTTTGTGTGTTTCTTTCCCTGAGACACAAAGCCCACAGGATTAAACAAACAAGAAGTTAGCTTTTATTTATGGTTTGAACATAAAACTGAAGAAAATAAGGTAGAGTAACAATGTTTCTTTTCCCTTGAAGTTTTGAGCTGTTTTCCTATTCCAGTATCTTGGTTCTTGTTTTACAAATTGACTCTTTTTAGTCAGCCAGCTTTAAGCTGATCTTTCCCCTCAGCTTCACTCAATGAGACATCTTCTTTTCTCTCTCCACTCCCTGGCTGCCAACTGCTCTCTTTACTGCCGTTTTCCAGCTGTTTCTCACCAACATTCCATCAGTTCTCATTGGTCACTCTTAAGGAGAGGCAGAACCTAACCTGTCCATCACAGTAACCATTCATTATCATTAGGCATAGTAATTCCTCACAAGCACTCCATATGTTTTGCATTTTTTGCATTCTCCAGTTTCAGAGGGTAGCTGTGTTGGTCTGCAGTTGAACCGTTCAATTCGAGAACAGTGGAACCTTAGAGACCAACAAGATTTTCCGGATATAAACGTTCAGAAGTCAGTATCTGATACCACCGTCGGTTTCTGATGAAGGGAACTTTGACTCTTGAAAGCTCATCCCCTGGAAATCTTGTTGGTCTCTAAGGTGCTACTGACCTTTCTCTACCTTTCTGTGTTTACTTCCTCCCATCCTGCTCTGCGTTTATACGTATGGTATCATGCAATACTAGCGAATAGCCACAAGGAGGAAGATTGGGATGTTTGGTAATCTGAACTGAGAAGTTTTTCACATAGGAGACTAACCTGTGGAATCAGAGTGTTAACTACCAGGTGTACAAACTTTCATTATGGCCTGATCATTATCATAATATGTAAAGGTTTGCCGCATACTGAGGAATAAAATGATATTTGAACAACAGACTCTAGTTCCGCTTCACTTCATGTCCAATTACACGTAAATATGTCCGACAAGAGTCCCAATGTCAACTTTTATTTTTTAAAAAATGAAAAATTACTTTAGAGAGGGGATTCTGAGCAAAAAGAATTACTTTGGTTTTCCCACACACTGCAACAAATCATCCTGCGCCAGAGGGTTTTCGCCAGCATGATGCAGAATGCAGGTAAATGCACATTCTGAGCTTTGCAGATGGAAGAGACACATGGGAAATGATCTGGAGTGGAAAAGTAGCAGGCTGGGAAAGGGGTAAGCACTTTCCCACTGCTGCTTCTGCACTACTTTAAGCTGTTTTTAAAAACAAAAAAATCTGTGCTAGGGCTCCATTATAAACATTTGCCTATAAGCTACGGTTAGGAATATTCCTCCTCTTTCTCTAGGTATAATACGCATTGTCACCTTCCCAAGAGAATAAATCTTTGACAGTTGCTACCTGTAGATGGCACTGCAGTCAAGAGTAATTTTACTGGGAAAGGATGCACAGCTGCTGATTGAAATGTTTTATTGTTATCATCAACATCTCCTTGGCTTTAGTATTACAAGAGCCAAACAAATTGGAGATTCTGGAGATTGGTTTATACAGAGCAGAAATGTTGGTCAGTAATATGAATTAAAGAAATGGTCGTCTAATGCCCAGAACATGGTTGTTATTGTTTTTTAGATCATTATATCCAAGTTCTAGAATGTAAACTGAAGTGTGAAACTGATCTGACACCCGTCATAGGAGGCTACATGGTAGAGAAATTTGTGGCAACCATGTACCACTACTTACAGTTTGCCTATTACAAGTGTAAGTAAGGGGCTTTGCCTCAAAGTAAAGTAGGATTGTTACTAGCTTTGTAAAACAGTTTTTAATATATCCATTTGATGTATGTTGAGCACATAGAAAATGTTGGAGTTCTCTAGCAAGGAAAATTCTAGTTTTGCCTCCCAGGTGAGCTAGTCCGCAACACTAGGATGATAAATTTAGTAGATCTCTAATCAGTGCACAGGAAACTTAAAATGGTAATCAATAATCTTTGAGAAGATATCCCTGCATATCCTAGTACTGGGTTGGATCCAGTCTAAATTAGCAGTTTCCACTGATTTTCCCCTTCCCACTGCAGACCCCCTCATATCATTCCCCAAGGTCCCCTATCCTCAGGGAGCAACATTTTGTGGATATCAGTGGGCTGCAGTGGGAGGGGGGAGGCGGGAAAGTTCCATTCCACTTATGGAAAGTTTAGTTGGGAGGACCCACCCATTGACTTGCATATATATGTTGGCATAACTATGGTATGGGAGGGGAGAAGGAAAGATTTTGAGGCCTGTCTATAATATCCTGTTTTGTAGATCTTTAAGATTTTCAGAATTAGAATTTAGAAATACAAGAAGGGGGACCTGCAATACTTGCGTGGGGGAGTATTCCCCACAGTTCCCAGCCTGCAGAAGCAGGAGGAGCTCCACAGGAGGAGGAAGCGGCAACAGGTGAGGCCAGCAGGCGGACCCAGCAGGCCCGCCAAGCTTTCTCCCTCCTCCCTCCCCCCAGCAGCAGTGGCGGTGAGGCCTGAGCGGCTCACAGCCACCGGCCCGCCAAGCCTTCTCGCCCCCCCAGCAGCGGCGGCTGCAAGACAGTTGCCAGGGTGTTCTCTGCGCATGCACAGGAAACGCTGTTTTACTTTTGGGGGGACTTAAGTATCCCTCGTATAGTTTTTTCAACTTTTTAGATTTTTCTGCACACTTGGGGACTGCTCCAAGTGCGCAGGAAAATCTCTATGCCCCCCAAGTGCCCCCTATGTGCAGATTTAGATATCCGCACGGGGGGGGCTTGGCTATTAGATATATAGATACATACAAGTACTTGAAATAATACACAACACTCCCCCATATCTCTTGCTTGACATCTGTATTCAGACTGTTAAAGTAACGGCTGCTCAGTAACATTATCTTGAGAAGCTGACTTTTGTTTTGTTCTATATTAATTTAGTGAACGATTTGAAGAACGCAGCTCCATGTGTCACTAGTTACATGCTCTTTGATCAGAAAGATGAAGTGATGAAACAGAATCTAGTCTACTACCAGTATCATAAAGACAAATGGGGACTGACAGATGAAGACTTCCAGCCTAGACCTGTAAGTGAAATGGATGGATTGTTGCAGTCTGTAGCCAAAAGAGCATGTTGTCCCACAGGAGGCACTAACACACTCAGCCCTGTAGCCTTATGGGAAGTGATCCAGTAGATCACATCTCTCTCATGCATGTGGGAAGCTGGGCGAACTAGGCAGCATTATCTTCTTAGTCTGACCCAGAACTTTCCTGTTATCTTTCTAGGAAGCAGTTCAGTATCACAACATAACAACGCTCCAAAAGGAGATGTATGAATTTGCTAAAGAGTATGTGATGGATGATGATGAGGTAAGTATAGTAAAAAAGAGCCACTGGTTTTCAAAAAAGAAATGGTATTTTTTAAAAAACTGAAATGTAATTTTGCAATGTTTTAGGAGGATTGCCACTTCTTTCCCCCCTGGTGGTCCTACTTCCATGCAGTCTGACATGCAGAAATTGAGCCTGTTAAACTTTTCTTGTACTTTCCCCAACTTTTTCTATTTATGTCAGGCTGCATCAGATCCCAGAAGCCAAGAAGGGTCGCCCTGGTTAGCACTTGGATGGGAGAAATAGCAGGGTGACTACACAGAGGCAGGCACGGGCAGACCCCCTCGGAACGTGTCTTGTCTTGAAAACCCATGAGGGGTCACTGCCAGTTGTCTGTGACTTGACTGCACTTTCCACCAAAAGGCTGCTGTTAAATAGAAAGAGGCCAGAACACAAGGTGGCAGGCAGCCCTAAGTTTTAGTTAACTTGTTGCATAATTTCTAAATCTTTACATTTTTTTACATTGAAAATTTTGCCAGAGAGATATTGCAGAGCAACAAAAACCTTATTTCAGTAACATCAGACATTGATCTGGGTAACATACACTTCCATTTCTTTTGGCAACACTTAGTATGTTAAAAAGTGTGGTGTATTCAATGCAAGGCAAACTGTATGTGAATCACCCTATTGAAACACCATGTGAAGTTTCGTCCTGGGCTAGGATCCAAATCCCTCCAATCATATTGGTAGCCCAGGAAGAAGCAGCCAATTAAGTACCAGCAAGCTCCCTGAGCGGGAACTAATGTGATTGGACCTTAACTCTACAGCCTCATAGGTTGATATTGTACAATAGGGCGTGGCTAGCCTACATTATCCGGGAAAGTTTAAAAGTGGAACAGCTTCGATGCTAAAGCTGTTCTGGCTATCAGATGTTGATCCATGTTGGAGTTGTGTTGAGTTGCTGAATAAAGCTGATCTTTTGCTCAATCACTCTCCGACTATTCTGTTAAGTGGGCGACTTAACAAAAAGAGTAGTTGTATAGTTATTCTTCATAAGGCTTAAGGGTTTTTCAAGAAACTTTGATGGCTGTCCTCATCCATTAGGCCTTGCCACTTCCCCTTCAATATATTTCATTCTGTTCATGTATTTAAAACATTTATTAGTCACTATTCTACCTTATAGGAACTCAAGGAGGCTTACAATGTAAACGATAATAAAATACATAAAAACCACTAGTTAAAATCAGTAATTTAAAACTGTTGGTAGGCAGTTCCCCTTATAAAAACTCCCCTCTTTTACTCTCACAGCATTCTTATGTATTATTAAAGCATTTGGGGGAAGAGTACAATGTATGGTTTCCAGAATGGCTCAACTTTTTAACCCCATTTTCAGCACTCCATCTTTTTTTCTCATATTGTGCACACAAGTAGTTTATTTCACCAGTTCTGATTGGATTGCTGGTTGAAAATGCATAGCCACCAATGCTCCCTCTAAGCTGTGGGGTCTTGTGAGTAAAAACTCTACTTTGTGAGCTGCTGGCATTAAAGGTGTGAGTGAGCAATTTGGCTGCTGCACAAATCAGTTTGCTCTGGAGCCCTCCTTCCTGAGCTAAGACAAAAATCTGTGAGCTTGAGGCTAAAAAACTGTGAGCTAGCTCACACTAACTCAGTTTAGAGGGAACCCTGATAGCCACATGAGGATATTGTCTCTTACTTATGTAAGACAATGGTGCTTTTATAGTCAATTCATGGTCACTCCTAGCTTATCACAAATGTCTGAGCTTTTGACAACTGAAGTAATGTTCAGAAATTTTTTTTTTACCAGATAGGTGCCAGCATTCACTTACTCCTATTGAAGGAAAGGGGAGCTGAGGGCACCTGGCCTCTTGCTAGTCAGCCCAAATACACACACAAGACCAGGTGTTTTACAATGCAGTCATAGGCAGAGTTACACCCTTCTACGTTCACTGACATTAGAAGACTTGGAAGGGTGTAACTAAGAGACTGCAGGCCACCAAGAAATCTGGTAAGTATTTGTTGAGATGGTGTTCTTTCTGTGGAATTGACACTTACAAAGTGTTTGCCAACTGGTTGCAAATTACTTTCCCCATTTTGGTTCTGCATTCCCAGTGAAGGGATGATGATGCCATGTCGTGAAAGTGCTAATGAGAACAGAATAGCCGTCTTTTAATGGAGTGGGATGTACTACACTGCCTTGTTGCTGCATCCTAGGCAGCATTTCCACAAAGATGTTGACACTGGCCCACGATAGATATTACAAAGAAATGGGGAGAAGTAAGGAGAACCTGTTAACAAAACATAGATCCCACTGCACCTGTCCTTCACTACGCATATATCAAAAATAGCGGACTGTAGAACTAAATGGTATGCTTGACACATGCCTTCCATTGAAAGCTGCAACCCTCTGTCCAGTTCTCTCCCCATAATGGGTTGCATCTAGCCAGCGATTTCAGTCAATCTTTCTCAATTCCCTTCTATTCTGCAATCCCTGTCCCACCTGGGTTTTGTACATATGGACCTGTATGGCCCCCCAGCACACAGCCCCTTTTGGTGATCAAAGGGAACCACCCCTCATTCTTCACCAGCAGAAGAGCTAGTTAGATCCAACCCATTGTTTAGGCAGGCTCACCCATGTTTTGACATTATCACATCACGCACCTTCTCATCCTCCACACCGATGGCCACAGGCAAGAAAATGTAAAGAAACCACATGGGTAAGTTTGCCTGACCCTTGCAGGTAGACTGGAAGAAAATGCTTGTAGCACAAAATGTTGCTACAAAAGACATCCAATTCCACTGCAAAGCTAATATCTTTTGTGCCGACCCACAAAGCTTTTCTATTTATATCGCTTGGTCAAGAATGTGGTCAGTGGTAAGGCAGGTCCCCTAAAAGCAATAATTACTTCTGGAAAAATAACATCCCCAATATAGAGGGACAAAAGCATTTATGAAGTTTAGACTCGTGGAGCTGGGCACCTCTCGTTTCAATTAAAATTTGTAGAGGCATGCTGAAAAATGGAGGATGATCTTTATCTTTGCATATTATTTCATTAAGGGGGGAGGTTCGTGAATGAGAATGTGATGGTTTATTTTTGCTGCTTTGAAAAGATTTCATTGTGGGCACCTCTCGTTTCAATTAAAATTTGTGCAGGCTTACTGAAAAATGGAGGATGATTTTTATCTTTGCGTATTATTTCATTAAGGGGGAGGGTAAAAATCAAGGTTCATGAATGAGAATGTGATGGTTTATTTTTGCCACTTTGAAAAGATTTCATTATTTTCACTGCACAACATTTTCCTTCCACAAATATTTATGTACACCAAAGTCTGCAGTGTTTTGAAGGCCATTTCTGTAATGGCAAACTTGCTTACTTACCAGAAAGGTAAATAATATGTGGCGACGTGTCTGTTTATTGACGTGGCAACTTTATGGTTCCATGGGAGCTAAAAGCAAAGCAAACAGCCGTCCTTCCTGAAACCACAGTTTTGCAAAAATCCTGACAAGCCTTTGAGGGGAAAGGAAGAAGAGCCATTTATCCAATCTACTTTTGTCCCCGTTGGTCTTCACTAACCAGTAGTATAGATAGTTGGCTCAAGGCTTAATCTTAAGAGCATGGTTGGGCTCAACCGAGGTTCCCAGCAACAGCAGATCTAAAGAACTGCAGGAGCCATCAGCAAATCTTCAGCCCGACTGTTCCAAACGTGGCTCTCTTTAGCCTGCTTGGTGTGCCAAGGCCATTGGGAAACCGGAAGGAGTTACTAGTACTGACCTTTGACCCCAGGGGCTGCCTGACAAGTAGTGTGGTGGACCCACCTATGCATACCTTCTTGCCAGGAACGAGCTGCCATTTTTATTTATTTCAAACATTGCTATGCCGCCTCGGTGGACCCACCTATGCATACCTTCTTGCCCGGAACGAGCTGCCGTTTTATTTATTTCAGAGGCCTATAAAACATAAACTAACTCATTAAAATTAGCAGCTATTAAAATTCCAGCCACTAAAGCCCCCAAAGCATAAAAGGTCATTAACGACTCATAGCATAAAACATCTGACAACCTGAACGATCCTTATTACAGTTCTCAGGCTAAAAGTAGATTGTGTAAACAAGTGAAAACATCAAACCTCTAGTTAAAGGCCCAGGTGGGAAGAAATGTTTTGGCCTTGCGCCTAAAAGAGAGCAGCACAGGTGCCAGGTGAGCCGTGAGGGGAAGGGCATTCCATACACGAGCCCACTGCCATAAAAGCCCTGTCTCTGGTCACCACCTTCCTCCCTTCTGGGGGCGGGGAGGGCAAAAAGAGCAGGATTAAAGGGAGATTTTAGCTGGTGGGCTGGACAGGGTGGTCCTTTGAATACTCTGGCCTGAAACTATTATAGGTAATTTTCACTTCAGCAACACAACGTATTTTGAGGTTCTACACAGCAGGATCTGAGGAGATCCCATATTCTGATAAACATGGGGAATTATTCAGTGAAAGGTAGATGCGTTGCTGCCTGATTAGGAAAAACTAGTGTGGGCTGATGCTCTGTCCTTAGCAACAGCTTGATCTGCAGAAATGAGAAGGTGAAGTCTTTTGCATCATCTCAATATCTACAGGTCAAGCTGCTTTAAAAAGTGCAGCGGTAAGGTTTGTTTGTCTTTTAAAGGTGGCAACATGCTCAAGAGCCACTCTCATCCTCATCATGTCTAAAACAAGGTAAAAAGAAAATAGTGGTTCAGCCAGCCTACAACCAGATGTATATCAAGTATTCATCAGGGGAAATTTTCCATTGACACCCAGACTTGTAGTTCTATCCGAAGCAGAGTTACAGCCTTCATTGAAGTGAGTAGGCTTAGAAAGATGTAACTAATAGACTGGCAGTTTGGCCCGATATAGGCACGTTTCACAAACGGATTAAAGGGGCCGGTTCACACAGGCACAGCTGTCAGGCGTTCCCCAGCCATACTCAAGCCGTCTTGTAATGCTTCCCTCCAGAGTTAAAAAAGTACCAGGTGAAAGTGGTAGCAAACCCTGGAGAGCGCTTTGATCCCACTTCCCGGAAGTGTGCACACTAAAAGCTCGAGAAATAGGTGCATAGGCGCATGTTGCCGGAAGGAAAAAGACACTTACAGCTGCGCCTCCTCCCCGGTATGCTCCCAGGGGCGGGCCAACAGTGCAAACGCTCCCTTGCGCCTCCTCCCCGGTATGCTCCCGCATCAGTCAGTGCAGTGTGACCGGGAATACCTGGAACAAGTTGTTCCGGGTCTTTTTGCCACGACTCCCTCGCGCTTCATACTGCCAGTTTGAACTCAGCCTAAAGTATAGGATGGCACTGTTAGTTGACTGGACGTCCAGCTCCACCAGATACTTCTAAGTTTTCTTATTTAAAATGTGACACTTTTGTTCTTTAGGGTTCACTGTGCAGAATTAACTTGTTCTCTTATAATTGTTCCCAGGGTGAAGTAGTAGAATACCTTGATGAACTTCTGGAATTAGACAGCGGAACGGAGTGATTCTTAACAGACTTTAAAAAAAATAAGTTTTTGAAGAAGTGAATTACACCATTGCTCCTTCACATTCCCAGTCAGCACTTGAAGGTCAGGTGTTAGAAATACCTCAGATCTTTATGACGCTTGCTTGTACGTCATCTGGACCATCCTGCAAGTTCTTCACTGTACCACATCAAGCAGTTTCTTTTTTCATAACCTGTTTCACTTGGAGCCTTCTTGTTCTTTACAGCAGTATTTTTGAATACCCTCTTGGAATTTTTGAACACACCAAGCTTCATTCCATTCATTCAGCTCAGCAAATGTGCCATGGCTTAAGTCAAGCCCAAATGTTTGCTCCTTCGTTTCCCAATAGAATATAATCAGAGAAAAGAGGTAGACAGACAGACACTTCCTGTACGTTTTCTTAACCGTGCAGTGCTGTCTTATGTGTTGCAAATTGATTTATTCTGACAAATTCATTATTTAACACAATCCCCAGGAGTCCTTGGAGAAAAGCGGCATGCAAATGTTTTAATAAGTTGAGTCTTAATGCTGCAACGACTTATTCAGGAGAATTGAGTTCACTTTGACATCCCTGGAGAAAACCATTTGGCCGTAACACATCTCTGAAGGACGCCAGCTTCATTTTAACACCCTTAACTAAGGCCTCAGTTGTGTCTCCTATCTTCAGACCAATTATAAGGTACTCTGCAGGGGAGTGGGGATAAGTGGTATCCAAATAGGGGGAATCATCCTGCTAGTCCTGCAACCAGTTATTTACCTGCATGACTGGTTTTCATCTAATTTTTTTCTATGTATTTCAGCAGCAATTCTTGCTGCAAAAAAAGAAAGAAAAGGGAACCAGCTACAGTTAAGAGACGAGGACAAGCAAGACTTCCCGGGTATGAGCGTTCGAGAGTCAGAGCTGTATCAGATATATGACGAAGAGAACTTTGGCTCTCGAAAACTCATACCCAGGAAGTCTTGTTGGTCTCTAAGGTGCTGCTGGACTCGAATCCGGCAGTTTTGCTGCAGACCCAACACGGCTCCCCTCTGGAACGATCTTCAGGACAAGCACGTGATTTCTCGAGGAGCTAACCAGCCACGGTTTCCTGCAGAAACAGCCAAATTTGACTGACCCCCTTGTGCCTTAAGTGCTTCAGCATAGAACAAATGTTCAGACTTATGTTTTTAATTGTTACGATAAAAACACTTATTTATTGCAATCCCGTTTGTGAATTTACTTTGTTTGTATTAAACGCACAGGCAGCTTTTACGAGATCGGCTTCTGTTTCACACTAGGGTTGCCAATGATTTTATCAGTCCCTGCTGGTCTTCAACAGGAGCTTGATTTGCAGATGTTAGCAGGTAGCCATGCTTATCTCCATGGTGCAAACTGGTTTGCTTTCTGATCTGCATTGGCCAATTTACTGTCACAAGCACAAGAGCAGGCCAAATCAGTTTCTCTCTGGTCAGCTGACAGCCCAGTTTCAGAGTAGCTACACACCTCATTCTCCTAGTATTGGTGAAGCACTACCCTATTACGATATGATGCTGTCCCCAGACTTTAAAATGGGTATACCTTCATGGGCAGAGGTCTACTTTTATATTTGTAGGGCCTAAATTAACACTACACGTGCCTTTTTAAAAGAGAATGTGATCAGATCCATTTTCACTAGCGGAAGGCTTTGTAACTGGTCCTTCCTTACTAATAAATCAGAGCCTGGGAGTTGCCAGCTGTTTCACCAGCCGTTGCTGCAGTGCAGACACAAGTTGGTAATAACATTTATCTCCGTATTGTGAAAAGCTTCATCTGCATTCAGACACCACTGGCTTGTTACTGGGTGTTTGTGTGCATCTCCTTTCACACAAATTAATTAGAATTAGCTTGTGGGGAGGAAACTCTGGTTAACCGTGCTGCTGCATTTGTGCATCATGGATAGCTGGAGGTAGCTTCTAACTGGAATTCTCTGCAGCAGGAAGCAAAGAGGAGAGAGGAATGCACATGAGCCTAGCAACAATATGCCTGGTGATTTTCTTGACAGCTGAAGGCAACCCTGCTGGCTTCTGCGGCTCAGAAAACCCCAAAGCAAGCCTATCGTTTGCTCAGCCAGTTAGAAAGCCTTCCAGCTCTTCCTAGTGGAATGGGCAGTCCACTTAAAAGGAACCTTACACTGAAATCATACATGCACTATAAAGCACAGGCATCAGCCCAAAAACTTGACCCACCTTTGTTTTTCACGCTTGCACACTAACACCATGAGAGAGGAACTGAAAGCACTCTTAAGTGGCATGTGAGATTTTTAGTCCTGCTTTTTGCTCTCATTTCCCCTGTTACAGTCCAAATTAAAATTATTAGAGCCTTAGATGCCCTTTCATGCTCTGATTTCCAGAAATGTGCATGCTAGAGAATAATTTTTTTTAATTGCAATAAAGTTTCATTAACTTGCAGGTTCTTTTAACTTGATTCAAGGAATATTTCTGTTAAAAGAACAGTAACTGTGATTTAGAAGGGGCTTTAGGTTCCCTGACATGCTAGGCAGCAATTCTTTTAGCTTTTCTGTGTAGATGTCTGTAGTTAGTTAAGATCTTATCCCTCATACCGGTAGAAGTCCATCTCAAGTTAATGTCCTTGTTGTATCAGGAAGTCAATATTTATTTTGTGTGTATTGGCAGCTGCTAAGATTGTCAGTACATTTAATAGCTGCAAAATTCAGCAGGTAGAGCCTTTTCTGGTATGCAAATGTAGTGATGAGAAAAGCTTTACCTGTTGAATTTCTGCTCATCACATAAAGAAATAAGAACCTTGCTGGACTAAGTTGGCAGTCCTAGCTGCCACTTCAATGCAAAAGTATTTCTTGCAAAATAATGCAATTCTGTGCTATTAAGGTTCATGGTGCATTTTGATCTGTAGGGGAAGAGCTACAGAAATCGCTCCAAGTTTATAGATTTTGTCCCATGTTGGTCTGAGATTTTCATGTTCTGAGTTTGTTCCTGTTGAAGAGAGATGGTGCTGTACCTGTCCCTTAATTTTTATTCATTATATTCCTGTCTCACCCTGATTCTGCGGGTTTAATCTGACTTTTCTGACAGAAGGATGGCTTCCCATTTATGTTCACTTTTTGTTTGTTTGGGAGGTAGGTGCCATATTTTGTGCCTGATTCTGATGTGGGTGAGTGGCATTGAGTGTTACAATAAAGTGCCTTAAACAGAGTTCTTCCGGTGGTTCTTTCTGAGAGTCCAAGAGTCCTGGTCCACAGGTGAGATTTGTCTGCTTGGTGTGAATGTGTCTATGTGAGGGCTGACAAGAGCTCTGAAGGCACAGGCTGTTAGAATCATGGAGCTAAAATGCTACTCCACAGACTGGTTAAACTGAGTGATGTGGCTGTAGGGACAGTGTGATCCTTGTGTCTTCAGAGGGACTGAATTAGTTTAAATCAGAGGAGTCCCTTTCTAACAGGGTGCAGGCACAGCAGTCAGAACTCTACGTAGCTAGCTCTTTTAAATGGGGGGAGGGCCATTTGGGAAACAAAACGCTCCAAGTTTGCTCCATGAGATCTCCAGGGATCTGATGTGGGGAAGATCTCTAATTGAACTTAGCCCCATGCTCCCGCTCCTTTCCCAGGGTACCTGGTGAGTGGGATTTTATTTTGAAAAGGCATGTGTTAGATTGCAGAGGGCAGCCACACACGCAGCACTTATTTGCAGTTCCCCGTCTGTGCATGAATGCCTGTGCAGAAACTTGCTTCTGTGTGCAGGTAGCCCCCAGCTGGATGAAGGCGACAGACTAGAATTGGATTAACTTGTGGATCAGACCACAGGAGAGAGCAGCTTATATTCTAAAAGCAGAGTGATTGTTCTCATTATGGCAGGAACACTTTATTATTTAATGCATTTATACCCCACCTGTTGTTAATGCCGATTGTTATGGATATATATGTAAATTCTAAGGTATGCAATAAACCAAAGCTACTTCGCGTCCTATTTTTTAATTTAAAAAAATTAATATACAAACTGTCAGGAGAAGTAGACGGTGCCAGAGAAAACATTCCCATTTAATAATGTTTGAACATAGAACGGTGATGCAGTTTGTAGCGAGGCAGTGAGAAAAACCCACAACTAATCCTTCATAGCAGCTGTCTGAACTCTTGGTTGTCTGCCATCCTTTAAACAGCAACTTCATTTTTCTGGTAGCTGGAGGACTGAATGACCTAGTGTGGGGGAATCTAAGCTACATGCTTAAAAAGAAGCTAAGTCAAGAAATCGCCTAAGGAGTTTTGTAAATCACAGCTCACAACTCAGCAAATCAGCATTCTGTATCTCAACAGTCTTCAGTACCTACATATAAAGCATTAAAATAAACAGATAGCTTTAAAGTAAGTTATGTCTACACACACTTTTAACCTCCTTTTACCACTACTCCCTGCTTGGAGACAGTGGTGTTTACAGAAACCAAATAGGAAATTTTATGAAATCTAAGACCAAGTATATATTCTTTTGTTAGGCTAGGATGTGTGTGACTCTGCTGAACTGCCCCAGCTCGAAACACACACAACCATTTTACTTCGCTATGCATTTAGTGAAGCTTTTAGGTTAAGACTCTATAAACAATACCGAGTGGTAGCATATTTACGACTTAATTTCTACCTTCAATATTTATTTAGAAAATGTATACACTGCCCCATCCAGAGAACCTGTTAGAGGCAGCTTACAAAGTAACACAAGATAAAATCAGTAAACGGCCTAAAATCACTACATTTAACAATCTATTTAAAAAACCCTCGGAGCATAGGAACAGCGTGAAACATTTAGCAGCTTAAAATGGTTTGCATAAAAACAGGCCTCAGGCTAGAAGCAGATAATAAAAATCTAAAAATATTGAACTCCGTTGTTAAAAGCCTGGATGAAAAGAAATGTGTTGACCTGACACCTAAAAGTGGGCAGAGAAGATATGCCAGGTGAGCCTCAAGGAGAAGGACATTCAGCAGGTGAGGTGCCGTCACTGAAATGCCATCACTGAAAAAGCCCCATCCGACAGATCGTGTGATGTAATTTGTGAAAAGCAACACGCCTTTCTCTTGCTTTTTATCTCCAGACTCACAAGGCTACCCACCTGAAAGTATGGCCGTTATGCCCGTAGCAGCACTTTCTACTGAAAAACACAGCTTCTTCCATTGGCAGAAAGCTCTACCACTGGTGAAACAGAATTCCATAGAGTACAATCCAGCTTTTCTCATGTGCAAACTTATGCAATTTATTTAATAAATCAAACTCATATAATTAGCCAGTTAAGATTTCTTTAATAGGCATATGCTTTCTCATCTCCTAAAACTCTATCATCTTAGATTCACTGGAATGAAAAATTGAGGGACTGAAGGCATGTTGGGGGTTTTGGTCTCTTTTTGTATGACCTCCATTCAGTACCTGTCTGGTAAGTAATTACCCAGATGTACAAACAGGATCCCAGTTGCAGGAAATAAACTTCAGGTGCAAAAATAGTCTAAAAAGAACTGGCTGATAATCCAGCCATAATGCTGGTTGATTTCTTTTTCAACATGGATTCCAAGGAAAGATTGGTATTTCCTTCCCGTTTTGCCTGGGTTTAATTGAAAACACACATATGCAACACAAACACAGCCATTTAACCTTTTTTGTGTCAAAAGCTTTCTGTTAATGTACATCTTTGGATTTTTAGGGAGAGATAATGATATTGAATTCCATGCAAGGATGCTGAACAATGGTGTAATAGAATTCTGCGTGTTTTTAACTAATTGAATGATAACATCAAGAAGTTTTAGTGTGCGTTACTTTAGCACAGTGTAGAACTGTAGAAATCATTTGACACCTTGAAGCAAAAGAAAAACACTTTTTTAAAAAAATAATAATAATCCATTTTGAGTATTTTCTGTAGTACAATTTCATACCAGCACTAGATGGTAATCACAGCCCAGGGCCTCACCCAGGTATATGCATCCCACTGCCAGTTGTAAAATATAGAGCTCCCCAAAATATGAGGCTCCTTATTAACATAACCAATATGGTTCTTATGTTTAGCCAAGCCCACAACCAGATAACAATAATGATGTCTCTCATAACAAACGATAAAACCATCATCCAATATTTCTTGCCTCATAATTTAGTTTGGAAAAAATCTAAAGCCTTGCACTAGGTACAGGGCTAATACTGTTTTCTGCCTTATTTGTGTGAAATCTATACCCGTGTTGCACAAAGTATGCATAAGACAATCAGTCTTCCTTCCTCACAGGGAATACTGGGTCCACTTCCATGTGCTCCAGATATGATTTGAGATTCTATAGAAGCACCGCATATAGGGGGCAACTAGATTGTAAGAAATGCTATTTATTTATTTATCCCTTATATCTCTATTCCATTCTTCAGTGAAGGAGCAGTGGGTACAAGGGATTATCTCCTTTTGATCAACCTACTACCCTGTGAGGTGGAGTAAAACAAGTGCCTGTGGTTTATCTAAGGACATATCAGTGAATGTAATGACTCAGTAGGAATTTGAACATGGCTCCCTCTACCACTGAACTAAAACATACTAGATACCACAAAGATACTAGATACCAATTCACTGTTCGGGCCATGTAGCACCAGGTTGAGGGCCTAAGAGAATAGAAATCCATTAGAATATGTTACTCCCCAATCCCCCCCAAAAAACTTTATAAACATGAAAAAGGGATCATTTGAATGGGAGGTTGACCCCCAAGGCCCATTTATTGAT